ACTGAGTTCCTAGCTTCTGATTTCTGCCCGGCCCAGTCCCAGCTGTTATGGGTATGTGGGGAGTGAGCCAGCAGACTGGAATGCGCTTCTTTCTTTCTCTCTCTCTTCCCTCCTCCTCCTTTCTCTCTGCCTCTCAAATAGTAAATTAAAAATTAAAAGACCCAGCTTTGCATGGGGGTGGAGGTTGTCATTCAGCACACATCTGGGACACCCCTCGGGGTTCCTGGGCCTGGCCTGCCCAGGGTCGGGGCCTTGTGACTTGGCCCTGCGTTTGCCTCTGGGAGGACAGCCAGGCAGCCACTTCCTTGTGGGGCTGGCAGCTGCCAAGCAGGCCTCGGCTCACTTCCACGGCTGGATGAGAGCTCAGTTGTCCTGGGAAGGACACTGGGTGGGAGCCAGTCCATCCCCTGGGCCTGACTCAGTGTGGCCCAGAGCAGATCCCTGGCACTCGGAGATGAGCACGCTGCAGGTCTCCCACCCTGGGGAGCCCTTTTCTGGTCCCAAGGTGGATCCTAAGGAGACTTTGGTGGTATTGAACTCCGTGATGGAGACACCCAGTGTCAGGCAGCCCAGCTTTGGGGGGGGGGTGGGGATGGGCAGCAGGCAGGGAGCAGCGGTTGGCCTTTAGCTCACAGCTGGTAGGTTTCATCTCGTGCACAAGGGGAGGGTCCAGAGATGCTGAGAGCTGTGCTTTTGAAACAGGCCACGTAAGTATTTTCGTTTTCAATAAACACGTCTTGTTTTCAGGTGAGAACGAAAGTATTTCCGTTTTGGATAAACAATACCACACGAAGGAGACACGGAGCAGGTGGAGACAGGCCCGGCTGGCCCGCTTACCCATGCAGTGCCGATGAGCGGGGAGAGCCTGGCCTCGGCGTTCAGAGACCCAAACGCATGTCCCTGCTGTGTGACCACAAGCAAATCACTTCCCCACCTCAACCTCAGTTCCCTCATCTGCAAAATGGGCACACTGTCACCTCACACACAGGGCTGACATCAGGACAAACCGGATGTCAGGTGATGTCGTCCATCTGCAGGACCTTGGCAAAGGTATGGCATTATGCCGAGGCCCCAGAAGGCCCAGCGCAACTGCACGAGGTCCTGCTGCAACTCCCCCACCCCAGCAGTTTCTTGGGAAGTCTCAGCTGTGCCAACTCCAGGCAAAGCCTGTGCTGTAGGAACCCCACCCTGCAAGTGTGTTTGCTGGGCCACCTGCCCCCAGGCGCAGCCAGCGGGGCTGTGAGCGCCAGCGTCGGCCCCTTCCTGGTGGGAGAAGGAACAGGGAGCAGGCCTGTTCTCCGACAGCGGAGGGAGCTTTAAGGTGGGACGCTCCTTCACACGCCGTTGGTAGCTGTCTACATAAGGCGTCCATTATGTGCGGGCCTGAGGGGCCAAGCTAAAAATAGCATCAAGTGTGCACCCGCCAGAGATGCAGAACACCCGAAGGTCAAATGCCGAGGGTGAGACGGGCACCACACAGCTGCTGCCACCGGTTCCTCTGGGGCACGGCCACAGCCAGCCCTGCCTGGAGGCCTGGCTCGGGAACCTGGCTTGAGTTAAAAAATAGAACATGGAGTGTAACCCCAAATGCATACGTATATTTTTAAAAATCTGTGTATAACCATAAAAAAGAAGGCGAGAGAGGAATTCACTAAATCTCTCAGTCCTGAGTGAGTTTTTTCTTTTCCTGCATTTTCCAAACTGTTCTCAATGAATACACATTGCTTTTTGTAATCAGAAGAAAACCCAGGAGAAGATGCTATGAATTGCTTTAACATTAGATACATAGGATGATTAAATTGCTCTTCCCTCTGCCTCTCTGCCTCAACTCTGGGCCCAAATTCATCCACGTATTTGTGCTTTCCTGTTAGTGAGTGCATTTTTACTGAGTACCTACTATGTGCAAGCAAAACAGACACAGCTCTGACCCTGTGGGTGCCTCTCCTACTTGGAGAGAAGCTCCCAGGGTCATTTGAGCACAGTCTCACTGGGCTCAACCTGGCTGTGCTGCTTCCTAGCTGTGTGTGCTGGGGCAGCTGTGCGGCCTCTCTGTGCTCTGTGACCCTTAGTTCCTGCAGTTCCTCTGATGGTTACCACAGGGCGGTGGCCACTCGCTCTGGCCCTCCGGCTGCTCTTTCGTCTGCTTTCCCATAGCACAAGAGCATCAGTGGCCACACAGAGCCGGCGCCCGAGGGCCTGTCCGCCTCCCTCTCTGTATCTGGGCAGGGGCCCAGTTTTACTGATGTCTCTGCCAGCCCCCAGCGCGAACACAGCACCGTCTCCAGGACTGCTACAGAGGCGGCAGGTCACCTGTGCCCCAGCCAGCACAAGTGGTAGAAGCCCCCCGCCCCCCACCGTGGCTTTACAGCTTGCACACATGACCTCATGGTGGCCTCTCAGACGGTGGGGCCTGTCCCTGGATGTGACTCTCCCGACCGACAGCATCTATGCCAACAGCAGGGCAGGGTGCTCGGCATTCGTGAACGCCCCAGCACGCTGTGACTCCCATGCCACGCCCTTGCTCACGCCCGCCCCCTGCCTGGGATGCCACCTGGCTCTGCCTGCAGTCCTGCTGATCTGAGCCCTCTCGTGCCCGTGCAGGTGCCCCCCTCTTCCCTGGGGCCTCCCCTGACTCACAGCCTCCCAGGACGGGGCCCTGCCTCTCCCTACCCTTGGCTGTGGCTGTGGCTTCCAGGGCCCCGGTGGCATCTGGTGCTCAAAGGGCACTTTATCCTTTGTGACATCCCCATTCTGGGGAAGGGGCCGCCCTCTTCACCGGAGACCCCATAGCCCACCAGTGCCGGGAACAGAGTGGGGGGTCAGGGAAGTTCTGTTGAACAAACTTTCTGAGGGAAAGTCAAGTACACTTGGCTTCACTTCCTGTTAAGGCAGCGATGCTAACTGCTTCTACCAGCTTCTTTTTAAACATTTATTTATTTATTCAATCAAGAGTCAAGAAGCCGGAGCCGGAGCCAGATCCAGAGAGAGCTCTCACCCACTGACTCACTCCCCAAATGCCTACAACGGCCAAGGCTGGGCTAAGGCTGCAGCTGGGAGCTGCGAACTCAATCTAGGTTTCCCACTTGGGTGTCAGCGACCCAGTCACTTGAACAGGAAACTGGAATCAGAAGCTGGGGGCAGGATTTGAACTCAGACCCTCTAGGCTAAGTGCCTGCTCCTTTTATGACACCCTTGAAACCCAGAACTCACAGGTGTCTCTAGGCCATCACTGCCCATCAGTAGCCACTTGCTCCATGGCAGCGACACGAGCTGGCTGAAGGACACAGAATGTGGAGGTGGCCACTGCTCGGGCCCTGTGCCCGCCTCTCACACAGCTGCCTGCCTTTGCTTCTGGAACCACCCTAGGAGGCAGATGTGGGTACACATGGGCTTTGAGGACCCCAGGGAGGACCGGGATGGAGTGCAGCTCCCTTCGGCACCAAAGCCTGCTCTGTACACATGCCCAAGACACAACAGACATGCTCGTGCTTTGAGCCCTACCAAGAGAGGAAATGGTGAAAGTATAACGTTGGGAGGTGGTGCCCACGACCCAGAGGCCAGGCAGGAGCTGTTCTGCTACAGTCCAGGAGAGAGAGGCCGATGGGGTGGGTGTGCTCCACATCCAGTCCCTGAGGGGTCACTGCTCTAGGGAGGTGGCCTGCCTCGCTCCAGGAACAGAGGAGACGGGGAAAGCTGGCTGCCCCAGGAAGAGCTGTCAGCCCCTGGAAGCAGGGAAGCCAGGCCACGTAGGGGCTGCAGTGGTTCCCAGCGCAGCAGCCCTGAGCACCGTGGCTTCTCTGGAAGGCTGCAGCACTGCCCCGAGCCCGTGAGCCTGAGCCACAGACATTGCAGCAAGGGACATCCTGCCCTGGGCCCTCCCAACGTGGGCCCCTGCTCTCAGCCTCTCCCCAGCCCAGATGCCTCTCCCAGACACTCGCCCCGCTCTGAGGGACTTGCACCCCTCCTCCAGCCCCTGAGCCACCCAGGCTCCTTGGCAGGGCACTCAGAGCCTGTGCTCTCCCAGCCTCACTTCCAGCCACTCCTCCTCTTGTGCCCTCCATCCCTTTTTCCCTCTTGTACCTGCCAAGCTTCTGCTCATCCTTCAAAGCCCAGCACACGTGTCCCCTGCAAATCGTTTTCCTGGAACCAGCCCAGAAGCAAACCCATTTTGGAAAGGAGTCCCGCTGCCCTCACCAGTGTGTGCTGTGCTGGGGCTACCTGCACGTCCACCTCCTCCACTGGACTGGGAGCCTCTCGGGGCCAGTATCATGATTGGTTCATGTCTGGGTCTCAGCGCCAGCACAGAGGATAGGGCACAGCTGGCAATGAAAGATGTTCAGATGACTGGGCCATGGGAGGGCCGGCGTGTGGCTGGTGGTGCTCTATGGCTGAGTGTGACCTCAAGTAGAGTTTGCTAGAAAGCATGCGTGCCCCTCCCCCAAACACATGTAAGTACGCACACACACAGCGCACACACAACCCAGAGCAGGCTCTCAAGGGATGTGAGGTCCACAGAGCAGTCAAAAGGAGAGAGTCCCCAGGGAAGTAGCACACAGCTGCGGTGCTGACCCCACGGTCCTTCCCCATCCCATGGCCTTGGCCGGAGCCTGGAATGGATGGCGGAGGCCTGTCTGGTGTGCTCAATTCCACGCCCTCACTTTGCAGGCAAGGAAGCAGAGATATGGAGAGGAAAGTGCCTGCTTAAGGTTTTCCTGTGCCTTAAAGGCAATGCTGGAGCCAGAGCCGCTTCCCTGGCTCCTGGCTCAGGACCGAGTCTCATCACCACGCGCTGCCACTGGCAGGAACAGCAGCTGCAGGACTAGAAACCTTTGCGTCGCTTTTCCCCGGAGACTCAGGAGGTTGTGGGGCTCCATTTTCCTGGTCAAGGCCGAGGCAGTCCCCACCCACCACCTGGCCACAACACACGGCCACAACACATGGGCTTTGGACTTCCCTGTGACGTGTGGAGCAGTGGGGAGGGGATGTGGGGGAGAACTTACCTGTCAAAAGCCAGCCGCGTTCTCATGGTCAAGATGTGTCAGAGAGTTCTCAGAGCCTGGAGGGCTGTGTTGGAGGAGGCCTGTGGGAAGTAGAGAAAGTGAGAATATTATGCCGCTGCCATCTGTCAGCTTTCATTTGAGTTAAAAAAAAATGCAGCCAGAGCTGGTGAGCACAGGCTCGCTGACAGCAAAGCTCAGCTGCCTCCCCTGCTCCCGCCACTCCAGCCCGGTCACCCAAGGGTCACGAGCAGGTCCCCCAGGAGGGAACCTCAGTCTCGTCAC